TATCAACATTTAGTGTGAGGAAGTGGCCTGATCCTTGATTGCCAGTCCAACAACCAGCATCGTATTTGTTGGGAGGATAGGTCGAGAAACATTCTCCTGTCCTGATCCATTCAAGACAGACAAAACCTGATCTTGAGTGTTTGTGTGTGGACAGTGAGGAAGGGCAGAAAGGATGGCGTTTCCAGTTTCCCCTGGACCTCCTTAGTGTGATAACCTCTAGGCTTCAAAACTAGTAACTCTGTGAGTTTGCTAAGAGCTACAGTGGGCGATTCTATATCTAGCATTCACTCCACATTTTCTCAACGCTGAGGAAAAGGTGCCACTCAAAACCACATTCAAATACCTCCGGGCAATGCTGTTCTGACTGCAAAGTCATCCCTAAACGGCCATAAACCTATGCAGAAGGTACCATAAAACCTGATGATCAATGAAAACGGCATGCTGTGTGGAGGGTACCATAAAATCTGATGATCAAAGAAAGAAGAAGAAGAAGAAGAAGAGGAGATTGGATTTATACCCCGCCCTTCACTTGGAGTCTCAGAGCGGCTTACAAACTCCTCTCCCTTCCCCTCCCCACAACAGACACCCTGTGAGGTGGGTGGGGCTGAGAGAACTCTGACACACTCTGAAAGAGAAAGCAGCATGCAGTGCAGAGGGGAATTTCTGTTCCAAACAGTTGTTTCATAAAACAACGGAGGGAAAAGCCAATTCAGAATTGCCCAGTGAATGTTTGATGGGAGAGTGCTTCAGAAGCAGCATCAGAGCAGCTTATCATCTCAATGAAAGTCATTTTCTTATCTCAGACAAATGAATTCTTTAAAAGACACCATAAATCACATATGTTTCTGTGCCAGAAACAGATGGAAAGTCTCTGAAAGCAACTATCTTATTGAAGTTTTCAATGTATGATGAGTCAGTGACTCAACAGAAAATAGATTTAACAACATAGGGTGTTTCCCCCCCTTTGGAAGGCAATACGTTTGTTCCAAATTTTCAAACAATGAGACAGCACCAGTCAGTTGAGTTGTATTCAGCTGGAGTTTAAGATATGTCTATAAATGTCTTGAAAGAATTTCACAGTAAAAGATTAGCCTCCTTGATGATACATGCAGACTTGTAAATCAACCTGCTGTCATGGAGGCTTGTTTAGTTAAGTATTATAAATCTTTCCAAAAATGTCTTATAAGGATTATTGAGTGTGAAATGATGAGCTTTTATTTAAAAAATCAGTTGGTTCTCATGTCTCTCATTTGGAAATATAAAACTTAGGGGTGCTGTTGGAGAACTGATTGAGATTACAGGAGAAATGAACCTGCACAGACAGAAGCTATTCTTGTTGCTGCTTACATGGTGCACAGCATAGCATTATTGCAGTATAGGGTTGCCAAACCTGTTTATTCCTGCAGCGGGGGGCTCCCGGACGGCGTCCCGGTCGTGCGCGCGCACCGCATGCACATCCAGGTGATGTGCACGCCGGGGTGGGGTTTCCCCTGGGGTCCGATTCCGCAGCATCGGAAATTGAGCCTCCAAAGTGGGGGGAAATCCGCCCCCCGGGGGGATTTGGCAGCCCTATTGCAGTAGGTTGGTGAGAACAGGGTACATTTATTCCAGTGAAAGGCTAATGAGGACAAGTCAGTAAAAGGCTAATGAGGACAAGTCAGGGAGCGGTGGCGCAGGCGGTTAAACGCCTGTACTGTAACATCACCCGAGCAGCCACTATGGCTGTTCGAGTACCACCGCGGTCGAGGTGAGCTCTCGACCTTCGTCCCAGCTCCCGCCCACCCAGCGGTCTCGAAAGCAACTTAATTGCAAGTAGGTAAATGGGTACCCACCCTTAGAGGGGGGGGGGGCACCCTGCGTGGTCGGCTGAAGATGGCGGTGATGCCGGAGATGTCGGAGACGGCGGCAGTGGCGACAATAATGGCGGCGGCGGCAGCAGCGGCGATCCTGGCGTGGACGGCATTGGTGGTGTGGCGGCGGTGAGCAAGGCAAGGGGTGCGTCCGAGCGATCCCTGGCGGTGGAGAAGAAGTACATCGAGGCTGCTGTGAAGAGAGAAGGGGTGTGCGCAGACGCCGAACTCCGACTTAGCAGAGCCGGAAAGGACGTTGCCGGGCCGGAAAGTAGGCGGAGCTGCGCGCCTAAGGAAGGAGTGCGACACCACTAAATGCCGGAGAAGGAGAAGGAAGGAGAAGGAACGCCAGAGAACACCAGAGGGGAAAAAAAAAAGAACAACGCCAGAGAACACCAGAGGAAAAATAGAACATCGCCAGAGAACACCAGAGAAGACCATGCCAAGCCAACGGAGAATCAACAATAGCCACCACAGAGGGGGTGCCGGTAGGTTGTCCCATCCCCCTTCATACATTGTGGCCCTAGCTAGGAACACAGGTGATTAGCACCAGAAACCCTGTAAGCCGCTCTGAGACCCTAGCCATGGGACAAAAGCGGGATATCAAGTCTAATGTAAATTAAAAAAAAATAAAAAAAATAAAAGGCTGTCTGGTACCCTCAATATGAAATCTCAGACTTCCAGCTATAATAGGAAAGGTGAGTGAATGTATTCATTTAAGTGTAAACCATTAGTTGTCATTTTGAACAGAAAAAACAGGAACTATGGAGATTTCAGTCCAAAGCTACTCATACAAATGTTTTTGTCTGCAATTAGGTTAAAATCAAGCACCAAATGACGATTTGTATCTGACTGTGTAATTAAAGAAGTTAATGTCAGAATCCATGCAGAAAGGGGGATATTTGGTTAAAGAAAAGATTGGAGTTTTTACATTATAATCTAGTCTGTTATGAGAGACCTTTGGAGGAAGTTTTAGTTGCTTAGTTCACCTCAGTATGTGAAAAGTAGCCTTTCCCTTTTCAGCCATGATAAGTCTCTGCTGAAGCAAAGGATTTCTGTCAGTAGAATGGGATTTCTTTGTCTGTCAGTAGAATGGGATTTCCTTCATTTCCTGCTGCAACCCCCAATGATGTTCCTTGGGGACATGCTCAGGAACAGCATGAGGGGGAAGGTGGAAGTCTGTGGATGGAGGGAGGAAGTGCCCCCTTTAAGTTAGCGGACATTTCCCATAGGATCAAAAGCCTGTACTTCCTGGAACCCAAACTCGGTCAGCTTGCCAGCTCCTTTTGTGCCGGTACAGAGATACAAGGTTTTTCTTCAACTCCTTTGTTGCTGAACCTTTAACTCAACTCTGACTGCACTGGGACGGAAAGGAATTATTTTTGTGTTCCCCTCCTAAGTGGGCCCCTTCTTTCATAACTTGTGGCAGAGGTGTGGGATGGAATTAGTTTAGCACATATTCTCTGTTATGAAGAGGATAGCAATGGTTCCAGTCACATAGATTCGAGACATTTGAATGAGCATTCAACATTAGAGGTGGGCATGAACCAAACCACAAAGCAAAATTCATCATGAATTTTTCCCTGTTTGTGGTTTGTGAACCAAAGTTTATGACGGGTCTACTATCATGAATTTTCATGAACTTTTAAAGCAGTTCATTGCAGTTCGTGACAGTTCATGGATAGAGCAGAAAGCAGAGGTTTAAAGGGACTCTCGAAAGACAGCTGAGCAGCAGGGAGCTCCCTGCCATTTACCTGTTTTTTGCACCTTCTGCAAACCCTATATAAAGGGATTGTGGTCCCTTTCAATGGGGTTTGAGGGGCTATGAACCATGAACTGGCTCGGTTTGTGAACGAACCTCCTGGTTCAGTTTGTGGTTCAGTTTATGGGTCAGCCACGAACCGACACAAACAGCATTTTTCCGGTTTGTGCCCATCCATAGCTTTGCAGTCAGTAGTATCTGATACCACCATAGCTGGAGGAAATTTCCTGTTCCTGGGGGAGAAAGTCAGTCAGTACAGGCCAGTATAGAGTATCAGTGGCTGAAGCAGTACCTCACTTCTTCTGCTTTGATTACCCCCCCCCCCCAGCCCGGGGGGGGGGGTTTGGCGCTCGGATCAGGTCACAGATGACTTATGGCAATTCCATAGGGTTTTCAAGGCCAAAGATGAAAACAGGTGGTTTTTCATCGCCTCCCTCTGTGCTGCAACCCTGGACTTCCTTGGTGGTCCCCCATCCAAGTACTAACCAAGGTTAGCCCTGCTTAACTTCTGAGTTCTGTCGAAATCTGGAAAGCCTGGGCTATCCAGGTTAGGAGACAGTACTGGTGAGATGTTTAAGCTACTTTCTGCACTTCTGATTATCTGCTCTGTTCTGCTGCCACGCTTCATCCTCTACCCAAGAAAGGTAAACAGAGGTTTCCTTAGTTCACTGCTTCTTCTGATATTGGGTGACACTCAAAACCTGTCTCCTCTGATCTAGAGTGCAGCTACCCTAAGGATAATGTTAAAAACAGAACTTAAAAGTATTTTCTTAAGCATTTTCACTGTACTAGATTGAAATAGTGGGTCAGAGATTATTCCTTCCATCAGCTGTGTGAAATTGTTGGAATCAGGTCGACATTCCTCCACTGCTGAATCAACAAACACTCGAACATTATTTTTACCTCCTGCTATATTAAATCTGAAAATGGCACCTGGCTTGTTCGCTTGTATACCCCATGCCTTGAATGTGAGAAAGTTTTGCCTGGGAGAGATCCAGCGGTTGATCAGCGCTATTCATAAAAAAATGAGAAGGCTCTTGAAAACAGATTCCAAATTTTGCTCTAAGAAAACCTAAACCTAAACCTAAAGTGTCAAGAAAATTTTCACACTGGTCTCAAATAATAAAGTGCATATTTGGAAAGGGGAAAATTCTATTTTGTTTCCCTGGTTTATTCTGAGCTTGGTATTACCGTTTTTTTTAGGTAAAAATTTGAATTTGAGGGCTAAAACTTGAAAAAGAGAAGAAATGATCTATGTGTTTGTTATATAGACTAATGGTGAGTATTGATGGCAAAATGTAACGAGGAAACAGGGACACACAAACGTCATCTATTAATCCAGGGTATGAAGACTTTCATTCTAACATGAGTTGCACATTTTCCAGCCTATTTCTGTAATGAAAATTGGGAATGTTTTCCTTTTTAAAATGGGGAAAAAATAATTAGGTAGTCATTCTTGCGAATCCAGCCATGGGGCACTCACTGTTAGTCTATGTTGAATAGTGTGTGAGTGTAAAGTGCTGTCAAGCCGCAGCTGACTTATGATAACCCCATATGGTTTTTAAGGCAAGAAACTAAGAGAAGTGGTTTTCCGTTGCCTTCCTCTGCACAGCCACCCTGGTATTCCTGTGTGGTCTCCCATCCAATTACTAACCATGGCCAACACTACTTAGTTTCTGGGATCTGATGAGATCAGGCTAGCCTGGGCGATTCAGATCAGGGCATGCTAATAGCTGACCCCATTTATCTGGAATCTTGCTCTGTGATACTCTCAGCCTACTGTTTAAGCTGGCCCTAAAAAGTGCTCCGCATTTTAACAGGCTGAAACACCACCCTGTTCTTTGTAAACAAGTAGTTCATTAAGGCCTCTCCTGCTCTTACCTGTTCTCTTTTCTTTCGTTTCCGCAGAACCTCCGCCTATCATACGAGTTCCTAATAACGTTACTGTCACTCCTGGTGATCGAGCCATCCTGACGTGCTTAACTGTGAGCACAGTACGGTACAATCTTACCTGGCATAGAAACAACCGTGATGTGAAACTCGTGGAGCCCTCCCGGATACGAATGATGAGCAATCTGTCTCTGGAGGTCAAAATGGTGAAGCTCTCAGATGCTGGCGAGTACAGCTGTGTGGCTTCTAATGAGGGCGGCTCTTCTATGGCATCTGTATTCCTTACAGTACAAGGTAACATGGAAAGAAAACGTGGGTGGGAGCAACAGCTTCTCTTTACCTTTTTCAGTTCACAGCTTGGCCTTTTATATACTTCAGTAAACTGGTAACGTTTATTTTTATTTATTTTCATATTCCAGGGTGGGAGCAACAGCTTCTCTTTTCCTTTTCCAGTTCACAGCTTGGCCTTTTATGTACTTCAATAAACTGGTAACGTTTATTTTTATTTATTTGGATGTTTATGCCCCCCTCTTTTCTCTCCAATGGGGACACAGAGTGGCTTACAACACCATTCTCAGCTCTTCCAATTGATCACCACCACAAAAACCCTGTGATGGAAGTAAGGCTGAGAGAGAGGGCCTTGCCAAGGTCAAGATTCCATGGCAGAGCAGAGATTCAAGCCCATGTCCCCCGCATCCTAGTCAGACAATCTAACCACAACACCACACTGCAGTGCTCCCATTTATTTTTGTGTGTGTGTGTTTAAATGTATTAATTGCTTTTTAAGATTTTAACACCTAAAGTGATGCATAAGAGCACAAGAACTCATAATAAGGAGTGTGAACCCTGGAGTAATTTTGATATGAAGGAGTTTGGCAAGGAAGAGAAGGTGTTGAATACCAAAGGACAATCTAATGATTACAGTCCTTGACTGGGACCTGAAAGATTTGGCATAAAGCGGCATTCTGCCATAAACCTTGCTGGGTGACCTTGGCCCCGTCACATTCTCTCAGCCTAACCTACCACACAGGGTTGTTGTGGGAGTAACATGGGGAAGGGAGAATGATGTATGTCATGAGCTGCTTTGGAGGACGGGTAGGACAAAAACACATTAGATATAGATGGGATGATCCTATTCTCTTTTTGTTCCCTTTGCGCAAGTACCCAAAATTGCTTGTAGGTTTCTTGGACTTAGCATGGTGAGACAGACTTTGAGAACAATTTATTTATCACATGTGTATCCTGCCCTTCCTCCTAGGAAGTCAAGCATGGCATCCATGGAGTTCTCATTTTATCCATTGTACTTTAACGAAATAAAAGACAACAGCATTCAAAATACGGCACAGCTGCCCTTTTCTGCTGGAAGCTTGGAAAGAGTTTGAAGCCAAGGATATTTGGCTGTTAAAAAGAAAGACACTCTTGACAGAAGGCTTATGCTTTCTTAACTGGGAACAATCAGAGAAGATGGGATGAATCTTTGGCCTAACTGTATATTTTTGTTCAAAATCTCAATCTCTCTCTCTCTCTCTCTCTCTCTCTCTCTCTCTCTCTCTCTCTCTCTGATGTAGTGCTTCCAACCTATTTAGAACATAAAAGAGTCTCAAAGCTTTTTTTCTACCCCAAAGCCTATGGGGGGGGGGACTTCAAAAAGTCACTTAATCACTGACATGGAAACCTGCTGTGAATAATAATTAGCATTTACAGGGGCCGCCCTAACATCTTTGTGTACTTACTAAATCAGTAGGTACACAAAGATGTGGAAGGAAGGCGGAACGGTATAGCTGGATCTCGTCAGATCTTGGAAGCTAAGCAGGGTCAGAACTTGGAAGGGAGACCTCCAAGGAAGACTCTGCAGAGGAAGGCAATGGCAATCCCCCTCTGCTTCTCACTTGCCTTGAAAGCCCCTTGCTGGGGTCACCACAAGTTGGCTGCGACTTGACAGCACTTCGCTCACACCTACGCACACAGCACAAAGATACTAGGGTGCCTCCTGGTTGCTAATTATCATTCTCAGCAGGTTTTAATAGGTGGTGATTAGAAGTCCTTTTGAAGTTTACCATTTGCACAGAAAATACAGATGTGTGGAAGGAAGCATTTGAGAGAGCACCGTGAATCCCATGAAACCATGAGCATTTATAACTTCAGTAATTCCTCTTTTCTCAGGTAGGTTTGGTTAGCCAATCACCTGTATGGCAAGATCAGGTACAAAGAAGGTCCTCTGTCTAGAGGAAGAGAAGAATTTGTCAGAGATGCAATTTAGAGAGTAGGTTAGAAGAAGTGCGTGCAGGTAGCATTTCCATGTTCCATGCCCTCAAGCCCAGGTGCCTGATCTGCAAAAGATGAAAACGGTAGGCTAGATATGACTTGTCTGAAGGCCTGCCTTCCCATATAAGGGGCAAGTGAACTTCTTAAAGCACATCTAGTTATCCTTGCTTAGAGGACTGGAGTCATCAGGATTCTACAGAATACAGGGACTAACAGGGAGGCATTGACTCTTAAAAGCCCATATCCTAAAAATCTTGTTGGTCTCTAGGTTGCTGCTGGACTCGAATCTAGCTGATCTGGACACTAAACAGAACTCAGGGTCTTTACATACAATGTAGAACTTGTAGCCTGGCTATAAAAATACACCATAGAAGTTACCTAAACTTATACCTACCTGCAGGGGTCATTTCGTAGAAAAAGAGCTAGGGGGACTCATTAGCATAACTCATTAGCATATGCCACACCCCCTGACATCACCGGAAGTGTGTCCTCCCCACAGCCGGCGGCCACGTCCAGCGGGCACCAGCAGGGAGCTCCAGGCCCCGCCCTCCCGCACCTCACCCGGGGGGATGGCGTCCCCCCGTGTCCCCCCCCAAATGACCCCTGCCTACCTGAGGGGTTGAGGCTGAAAAGATTAGTTTGTGTGTGTTTTGAATGTGACCAGAGGAGAAGGAACAAGAGAACATTCTGAATTGCTTTGAAAATGGTTTCTGGCTAGCAGAGCCAACTTTTAGGAGCCTTAAGGTACTGAACTAGCTTGTTTCCCACATACTCTACCTATATGTTTATAAATAAACAAATATTACAAAAGTCTGGCAGGTTTCCAGTCCAGTCCTGCGAGGCAACTAACCTAATAAAGATAGCCTGGAACCTCTTACAGCTTGGGAGAAGGGGGGAGGTAACAATAGTTTTCTATCACTCCCCCTCTCACCGCAACATAGGGCTGTGGTCACACACTAAATATGGAGCTGTGGTGGCTCAAGTGGTTAAGACGCTGAACTGCAGGCTGTGGAAGGTCGGTAGTTCAGCAGTTCGAGACCCGGGTGTGCCGCATGACAGAGTGAGCTCCCGTCTCTGGTTCCAGCTCCTGCCAACCTAGCAGTTCAAAAGCAAGAAATTGCAAGTAGATAAATAGGTACCACTTCGGTGGGAAGGTAACAGCGTTCCATGCGCCTTGGTGTTTAGTCATGCCGGCCACATGACCACGGAAACGTCTTCGGACAGCGCTGGCTCTTCGGCTTTGAAATGGAGATGAGCACCACAACCCTAGAGTCAGATTCGACTGGCTTTCGAGCAAGGGAACCTTTACCTTTACCTTTACACACACTAAATAATCCACTTTCAGTTTACTTCCAATGCACATTACAACTGGATTTTGCCAGTTCACACAGTAAAAATCCAGTTGGAAAGTACACTGAAAGTGGATTATTTAGTGTGTGTGAACGCAACCTAGGCCCCCTTAAATGTTACCAGAGCGCTGTGGGTTGCTGCCCAGATCAGGCAGAGGGTGGGAGCTTAACTGCATTAAAATGGATTCAGGTGGGGTAGCCGTGTTGGTCTGAAGCAGAAGAACAAAATTCAAGTCCAGTGGCATCAAAGTGGTTTGTGCGCAACAACTACTATGTGAGAGAAATGAGAGCCTCAGTTCGTAAGGCTGGGATTTTTCCTAAGCCAGGAGGGATGCTGTTTCACATAAATGGCTCTCCATAAGCATCATGCTTGCTTCTTGGTTCATATATGAAAAGTATTCTTTCCAGTCTTGGTCTGTTTCAAAGGGAAGAGTGCCAGGAAGTTTCAGTATCTTTAGTTTTGGTGTCTGTGCTTCCATTCTGAAATGTTGGATCTAGGTGGGAAATCATTCATAGGATTATGCCCTGAGTCAAGAACATGAAGGGGACTGCACATGTATGTATAAGCCCCTTCTCTAATTAAAAAAAATATTTGAAGAAAAGAAATCCCAAAGCTGTGTTAAAAACCTGGGGAGGGTATTCATGGAATTTGTCATTTTTCCTCTTTAAAACAAACAAACTCGACATGGGGAAAAAGCATCTCTATTAGTTCTGTGCCCTTATTGTGTCACTGGCTACTACTGGGACAGAAAATAAAGTTAATAATTTCTGCCAGATGTCGCGGCTCTGGATCTCGTAGCATGTTTTGTTGACTTCCGCAGGGCCAAGTGCTATAATGTGCAAACTATGTGTCTTAATCAGAGACCGCTATTTCTGAGTGCCTCTTTTGCTGTGTATAAAATAACACTGCGTTGTCAGAAGAAGTGCTGTTTTGGCACAGTGTGTACTCCCAATCTCAGTTTTCTAATGTCAACAGGAGAGTAGATCTTCTTCAGACCCATGAAATATTTCAAACATTTCTCTTCCCCGAGTGTCTTTTGGCAAGGTTTAAAACAGAATCAAAATAGCCCTGGCAGTTGTGCACATGGCAAATCTTTTCAGAACAATTCTGTCATATACACTGATTTTTAAAAAAAATATATATCTGGATTTGATTCTAACCTTTTTACTAGAACCATTTAGCCTGTCAGCTGTGTTTTTCTTCCCATGATCATAGAACATCGTTTACTTAGCAATCATGTATGACACAGCCAGTGTTCCATTAGTGTTCTGTCAGTGTTCTCTGTAGCAAAAACTTCAAGTGTGATTAGCAGGTTTACCCACCTAAGCACTTGGGGACGTGGAGAGGGTAGGCAGGGATCAGTAAACCTCTGATTTAAGGAACTACATCCGTTCTGCACAAATCTGCTACAGGAAGCACCAATGCAGCTGCAGCCAACGCAGTGGGTGAATAGCCAGGCCTAACACTGTCTTGACACTTCTTTTTGAAGAGAACAAGACATCTGCCGTGTAGGAATGGAGACTGAAAGCAGGTTATTAAGGAATAGATACTTACGGCATGTTCTTATATTACCTTTAATTTTTTATTTGCACTGTTGCTATCCTGCAGGAAAATGCTTCTGTCAGGCGCACACATGTCAATCTGTCCATGGTCAAAACTGTGTAAGAAAAGTGCACCAG